CTTCAGGCAAAACCGACAGAAGTGAGCAACTTCATTGTTTATTTATTTCCATAGTTTACATACTAATGTCCTCAAAGCCTTCACTGGGCATACCTACTACATAAAGGCATATCTCACCCACCTTCTTACGAACAACGCAAATACATTTTTAAGCGTTCTTCCCTCCCTGCTAACTGTACTGCTTCCCTCCTGCTTCCTCACCGTCTTACACTTACTTTCCATTCACCAAAGCACAGCATTTCACACTTACAGAATATGACTGAACACGTTTTGGGTAAGATTTGCTGATAACGTGTTCAAAAAGGCTCCATGAAAATTCACCTTTACTATGGATAACAAGCACACAAGGAGAGCGAGCTCACAGGAAGCATTTGTGCACATTACTAATCTATTTAGTTGGTATTTTATGGAATATTATGGAATGTGGAATAAATAGAGCAACATTAATCCCGTTCTTGACTGTTTTTAAAGAATAACTTCCCCCATCCAGTTTAAACCTCATGTTTACATTTATACAACCATATAAAACCAAGGGCTAGATTACAGTACCATTCCTAAAATCCCTCCAAAACCTCCTTTCCTTTCACTTGCTATTTAGCAGCAAGGTTAAAAGGAGTCTTACCCAGAACACACGGGATTTAAAATAATCTAAACTACTTCAATTTGCTCTAAGCTTTAAACACAAGCAGAAGTCAGTAGATTCATGCATAACATCTATAATGAGAGAGAATCTTGTTTTCCAGTGCGCATTTTACCTGGTGAGATTCTACAGTTTCAACTCAGTAAAGTATGTTAAACTTCACCCGGCACCCTGCTCCAAAAAACACAAACAAGTATCCCTACGCTAAAAACTATTTTGAAGTACTTCTCCACATCACTTCAATTTCAAAGAACTGCATATGCTTACAAAGGTGTCTGTGATTCTATGATACTTTATTCTTTCCACGTCAGAGGAAATGCATTAGAATACAAGTCTGGTTTTTACAAGATTGTTTTCTTGAAGATTAAATTAACTGCACTGCAACTAACCATAACAAGACACTTCCAATTTATTTTCAAAAAGAGAGCGCAACTTCTTTAGCATATAGTAAAAAAGGTGATGGTGACAGGCATAAGGTCAAAAGATTCTACTCCTGTAAGCTTTCCTTCACACTTTGCTACAACATTGCTACAACTTTTCTTAGAAAGTATGATAAGCAGATGTACAAATTGCTCCATATTTGACACGATGCTGTTAAAAAGCATTTGTTTCCTGCCCTCTTCTCCCTTTACATTTCCTCATTCAAATAAATCTGACCTTTTTTATGTCACTGGAAAAAAAAGCACTGTAATGATATGCACCAAGTGATGCCACATGTGAAAAAGCATCTTATTTCTTAATTAACAAAATAAGAAAAGCAGCAGGAAAAAAAGTGCTACTTAACAGGTGAATTGGGATGTAACCTTACATCAGTCCTGATCCACAACAATTTTTCACTGATGTTGTCAACAGTAATTCCATGTCAAATTCCCGAAAGGAAGGAAAAGAAGTACATGTTACTAAATTTCCTCCTGGAAAAATTCAAGAACACATTCTTGATGTTTTTACTGCAAAACATTTGTTCAACACAAACAAAAGCTGAGTGATGCACAGGCAATTTCCTACAAGGTAAACGCCTACAAAACAATGCCAAGGAAAGGCACTAATCAAGAATACAAAGGGAAGAGCACTGAAGATTCTACTACTTTCTTACATGGGAAAATAACATTGTTTTAAAAAGCATAATAAGAACAGAACTACACAGCAGTAGAACTAATTCAAATTTAAAACCCAAGTTTAGATTTGGGAATTACAACTTTTGCAAGAAGTTACTCCTGACTTTGCTTTATTAAAAGAGATGGGTAAGGGTAGGTTAGAGCAGCAAGAAGGAAATCAGTTTTAAAAGCAATGCAGTCTCAACTGTAACACCGATGTTAATAGCTGAAAGGCAAGACTATTAAACTGAATTCACCTTTCTGCCCCAAGATTAGGAAAACCCAGCTGAGAATGCCATGTTAATAACATGAAGAGACTAGGAGGAGAAAATAATTGTCTGTATCATTCATTTTTACTGCCCTCTAAATGCAAATCACATTCAAGAAAGCTTTTCTTCTTTTTGAAGTTTTTCTTCCATAAGATAACACTATCAGTAGACATTGCTCCATCATCTTCTAGATGAAATAAATCAAAGCACTTCTTTCCACCATCTCCAAAATTTCAATAACAATACGTGTACTTGCCATACCTTGTGCTGGAACAGTTTCAACCAGTATCAAGTAACAGATTTATTTAGGCTTAAGCCTACACACAACATAGCCTACTTGGTTTCTTTCCCCACTTTGCCAGAACTTTTTGATGTCACAAACTTCTAAACAGAACTCTCATCATTAATTCTCAGTCAGAAACGTAAGGCACTATGAATCACCGCAGTGACTGCACTAATGTCAGCACTACTCTCACAGTGCTTCAGAAATTGAGGGGGAACCTAAAGCGACTGAACGCTTTTAGCTCCACTACCACTGACTTGCTTCTTGCACTACAAGTCTTTCATTCATACAATTTCATTACATGAAAGTGCAAAGCGAAAGGGTTAAGTTGGCATAACATTTCACAAGCCAGAAATATTTCAGCATTCCATGTGTATAACCTCACAGCCTCAGCTCCACTCCATAGCCTCAGAGGAGGGACATCACACTGGCTGGAGCTTTAATATTTCACATTTCATTAGAAGCTGATCAAACAGTGACAATTACGCCTCCTGTAACTGTCCATAGCGCAAGTGTTAGGTCCTCAGAGTTTATTCATTGGATATTATACGTCAAGAGTACTTGGCTCTGAACAACATTACGGATAACACACATTGTACTTTACCATCTTCCTCAAGAAACGCACTGGACGATATAAAGAAATTATTTATTACACAAAACATTTCCCCATCCTGTGAAAATTAAATTATTGAATCACATTCTCCCCATGTAACAACTGACAATAATTGTTTCTCCCAAAACAAGAACTGAAAGAAATAAAGGCTTTGTTGCAGTCTCTACAGTGCTACTTTAACTCGCATTGCCAAGCCACAGCTATCCATACAACAGATTCCTACAATTAATAGGAAGTGAGCATTTCTCTCCATTAGGAAGTAGTTGTGTTTAGTTGGTTGTTTTTGTTTGTTTTTAGTGTTTTGAGTGTTTTTTTTCCCCCCAACCTCTTCCTAGAACTTATTTACCACTGTGACTGCATTTCAGCATCCACGCTACTTTAATAGCTCAGTTATCTGGGACACTGGCAGATCTGCAGACTAGTGGTAGATATAACAAAAAGTACCTAAACCTCAACAGTCAGAGAAGGTCACTGTTCTACGGATAGCCAAAGCCACAAAAATGCGAAGACTGAGACCCAAGTGTGACTTCATATTTACTGCACTCTCTGAGTGATGGAAGTAAAATCAGAAACCTGTTTTTCAGAATCTTTTGGAAACATGGCCCATGTTATTCTCCATGAACAAATGTGCTTCAGCACTTTGAGCTGTAACTTTCAGCTTTGTATGAAGCTATATATAGCTGTGGTCTTAAAGGTAAATAATTTAAAGCATTGAATATACTAATGTGTATTTTATAATGGAAGTTTAAAAGTTCCAATAGGACATGCATCTTATCTTCCACTATCTCACTGCTGATCATGTGAACTGGTAGTCAATTTAAGTTGCTTCGTGGCATCAAGGCAAGCTAATTTTGAAATTACCATGGGCCCCCAGAGCTTCCTAGAGAATTCTGAAGCTGCTTGCTGTGAGACACAGCTGTATGCAGAGGCTCATGCTGGTTTTAGAGAATAAATCATCTTCAAGAGAGGCATGCCATCACAACAGCAAAAACCTCAGTTTTTGTTGAATTAGAATTCTCATTAAAAAATCATTTTCTTTATTATCCTTACATGTTCTTTACTAGACTTATTGTTCCAGTACCAAAACATGCTATAATTTTTTAGTAAACAAAGTTTCTAGAGAAATGTTTATCATTATCTACTTCTTTCCTTAGGAAAGGCAGTTATTGCAGACTAAAAAACAGCGATTCTTCAAGCAGAACAGATAACAACAGATGCACATAGGTATCTAGGTGGGACACTGACACATAACTAAATGTTTGGTTTTTTTTTTTTTCCTATGTGCACATTTTAAAATGCCTCCCATCTTCAAAAGGTGTAAGCTGTTGACCCCAGCAGCCAACCTAATTCAGTTCAGTTACTCACACAATAGCAATAAGAGTCAGGGACTGCTAAGTCAGTTTAATTGTGGGGGGATTTCTGTATCTGAATGCTTTTCTGTTGTTATAACACAAATGAGAACAAATTTCCAGATGTCTCAGTGTTATTCACTTTTCTTCTAGTTACCCACAAGATGCATCTTCCAGTTCTAAAGTGTTGTTATAGAGCATAGTTGTAATTATTACTAATACATAAAACCTGTAGAGAACTAATAAATGTCAAATATAAGACAATTGTGGTGCAATTTATCATGATAAAAGCAAGCAACACAGCTCCAATTTGTCTATTAGGTATCTATAACTGACACACATTTACTTGGTCTCGACACAAGGAAATACTCCAGAATACTCATTTATAAGTGCATAGACTAGTCCAATGAAAACAGAATCTAAAGATTTGCCTGAAGCAGGATGTTTTGGTTTTGTTAAAGTTTTAAAATAACTATATAATAAATGACAAAATTATTTCATTTTTCCATCTTCCTTAATAAAAAAACATTAGTTTCAATGCTAAAAAATTCATAGCTTCCATCGATTAAACTAATTGCTTTCTCAATGGACTTGTAATATTCATCTTGTCTTTCACTGAGAGGAATCAAACACAATCCAAAGCACCTGTTTGCCCACACTTACTTTTTGTACTTCAATAACTTTAGCAGTTATCTCAGAAGCTGGGAGAAGATGCATCTTTAGAAAAAGGTGTTAAAAGTACATCTCCCTACCTGTTTCTCACTCAGAGCTGTGATTTTGGCTTGAAGTTCATGAAGCTGTTTCTTCAAATCAGCATTCTGATTAGAAAGAAAAAATATCTGTGAGAAAGATATTCCATTTGTTAACATAGAGTAGTAGCAGGAAGGCTTTTTTTTTTTTTCATATTATACTATAAATGCAGCACCTCTGGATGTACAGCCAATTAAAATCAAGAGGCTCAACAAAGCCTTGCTTAAGTTACTGAGTGCAAAAAAACCATCAGAGGACTTTTGTAGCACTCAACGAGAGTCCGGAACTCAGATTTCATTAAAACATCCATTAGTGCTCACCACAATGTAAAGCACATTTTCACATTCCATCAAGTTTACAAATTAAACAAGAAACGTTTGTCAATATATAATATGACAGTATCATATTGCATGCAATGGTACTTCACCTAAAGCATGCGCTCATCTGTGCTATTTATGCAAAGACATACAATTGATTACGTTGAACACCAGTAACCGTATCTATTAAATCTTAACTGCCACACACGCCAAATGAAGGCCAACATACCTAAGTATTCATTTCCAAATGTTTGTGTGCCTTAGACTATATTTAAGAGAATTACATCTGCCTTAGCACATCATTCATATCAGCAGTTGGCTTACAATAGCACTTTAAGATTTGAAAGCAATAAACACCACTATAAAGACGCAGTAAGAAAACAATTTTTACCAGGACTGTTTCTTTTCTACTAAAAATAATTTAAAAGAACCCAAACAATAATGCACTCAGTTTAAAGACTGTGAAGCTCTGAAGAAGTGTGACAAGGAAGCAAACCTCCCTGCAATTTCATTTTCTTTTCCCTAGTTTATGTTGTATACTCTTTACGCTGGATTATGCAGGTTTGCTGTACAACACAACACTAAAACCTAAGACTAATATTGTTACAGAAACTTCACGCTCAAGAAAACTTCTCTGTTCTTATATCCATCTACAATTCTGAAATGCATTAAAATCCCAACTCAGTTATTTGTAGATAGCTTTATCTAATATAAACACAGCCTCAGTGAAACAAGATATTGACTAATCATTCTCCCTTTTCCCTAGATTCTACTTCATACATTTTTATCCCAGAATATTATTAAGAATTCTGAAACAGTGACCAAATTTGCTCTTAATGATTCCATGAACTTTGCACGGCTGTTTGCTGCCCTGACATCTCTCTCACTAGACATGAGCAGAAAGCCAACTATGCTGTAATCACCAGCAGACTTGTCTAGAAAGGAGGAGCAGCAAACTTTTAGCAAGTAGATTTTCCAATACAATTTTACTATGGGGATGGATGCTCTTACTAGCAAGCCTGAAGTAACTCCCCATTTAGCAAACATGAGTGCTCAATTGCAGGATAAACCGAGTCTCTTTACATAGCCACTGGGAAAGAAGAAGTTTTTGCCGTCTACACAAGGATCCTAATTACCCAGGCTTTGGTAGCTCTGAAACACCGCAAGACCAAGTGGCCACACTTCAAATATTACAGTGCCGAAGCCGGATAATTAAGACAGGCGAACTGAATGAAGTCTTAAGCAATGTTCTTCATTCAGACAAAGTTTCTTGGAAGGAGGATCCTCTTTTGGCTTGTATAATAATTCAGACAAGAAAAACACTACATCTAGAAATTGCAGATTTGGCGAAGAGACATTTCCAGAAGAACCAGAGACGTAATACTTGAGTTGCATTATTGCCTGCAAGGGTCCCGTGATTTAAAATACTAAGAAAGAAGCAAAAGGCTCCAAAAAGAGTTGGTGGATTTTTCTTTGTTGGCGTGTATCTTAAAAGAACAATGCAGTCATTTCTTTAAAGATTTGTTCTTAATTGTTTTCTTCTAAAAATTGTGCTAACATGGAAGAACATGATGAAATATCTGAAATTCTCAAACTTGGTGCAGTTATTCTCTCTCTTCTTAGAGATACATAAAACAATACAAAATAGATAGTTACCTGTGGATCTTGCTTCATTTGGGCAACCAGTTTCTAGAAAGAAAGAGATGCAATGATAAAATAAAGACTTATGAAGGATCCCATTGAGCAGTGCAAAACCAACATTTTTGGAGAATCTTTATAAGAAACACACCAAAATACACATTTCATAGTTTGCAATTGCTAGACCTAGTCCATAAGGAATCCAAAATTAATGATTTCTAAACCTATTCTTGTTAACACAGTAAAATTATCACATTAAGTCACCACTTCTCCTCCAAAACTGTTCTTGAATAAGTGATACCTTTGTAGGACAATTTAAGCCAGCTGAAGAAACTGATCTTACAGCCAGGACTTCTCTAGAACTGCAGCCGCCTTTGCTCGCATTCACAAGAAACACAAATCACAGAGAATCACTGCAAACACAAAAGCTGTTTGTGTACTCAGACATAGAACATTTCAAACACCAAAGGACTCCCTGTGTGTTGGCTTGGCTGGTACCACATGGAAGATCCATGTTCAGAAGTATCTTTGCCACTTTTCTCTCTCAGTCAGAGAGATTGATATCACTGCAGAAAAGATGCCCTCTGCATTCAAGGGAAAGTGGATAGATGGTTACCATTCACTATTCTTTCTCCTTCGCTTCCTTCAAGCAGCTGCAGGAGGATGTTGTCTGTTGATAAGCAGGGAAGTTATCAGGCTGTCACTGAAGACATCTAGAGCCCCAAATGAACAGGCAACAAACCACCCTCACCACTGCTCCCAACCCAAATCTCTTCCTTAGTTACAGCTACGTTTTATCACATTACATTGTTCCTAGAACGTGAAAATATGTAGTGCTCCAGCACCAGGAAAAGAAGTGAGGAAGAGAAAGCAAACAAGAAAAATGTTTATTCCCACCTGCATTAATATTACTCAGACAACTCAGATTTGGCCAATGAATTTTTTTGAAGTGTATTCCATTTCACACCCTGGATGTGATACTAATCACAAAAAGCGTAACACACAAATCTGGGTTAGACCACTGGTCTTTCTGCCCTAATATCTTTTCCTAGCCAACAGCAAACATGGCCGTCAGTTGGAGAACTGCACAATCATAGTGTTATCTCCCATCTCTCAGAAATTTACAGCTTGGATGACTTCAGTGAAAGATGGTATCTTAAGCTCAACAGCTAGTAACAAACTTTTTTTCCATTAATCTGCTCTCATGACTTTTTGAATTAAAGAAAACACTCCAAATTCTGTAACAATATGTTCCAAAGTTAAATGAGAATATTCTTACGTAAAAGGACCTCGTTCTTTTGAACATGCTTCCTGTTAATGCATGCATGAAGGTAACTGAAATTATGGAAAGCCATTCTTGCTGTTTGTCTGCTCATTTTCATGCTACATCTATTGACACCTTTCATATTTCAGATTGAGAGCCTCCCTATGCCCTAACCATGCCACTGCTTCGCTCCTTCTTAGCTCCATTCCCTGTACTTCTCTCGTTCTTCTCCATCACTTGCAAACAACGGGATTAGAACTGCATACAACATTCAAGCACTCTGTATTGCAGGAAATGCCTGCTCAGTGCTAATAGCTAATTCAGTGATGTAAGACGGATGGCTCTTCCAAGGTGTACCACTTTGGCATTTATCTACACTCAGTACCATTTTTTCATCATTCAATGTTATGGGAAGTTGAGGTGCTACACTAGCCTTGTGCTTACATGCTTAACTCAGTTTTCCTCAGTGCGTTCCACGTTAGAGCTTGACAAACAAATCTGTTAGTTTTTACACATACAAAGTTACTGTACAGTCTCAATCAAGACATTACACTTAGTGGCTGTAAACTGTTCTAACATATTTGAGGAACATGTAGTACTGCATTATCCCAGTCACAAGAAAAATGTATGTTAAAATGAAGGTATTTTAAAAACACACAAATCTTTTTGCTAAGAAATGAAAAGGGAAAGGATAGCTTGGTTTCTTTCTACTCATCAGCTCAAAGACCCATCCACAAAGCCCATCCCTTCTGTGAGAATAGCGAAATACAGCTCCTATAACACCTCTTGTGATCAAAACTATGAAGAGCAGACTGTTTCAAAATAATCTTAATTAAGTCAACAAAGTAGCAGAATGAACTACTTAGAGTTGATGGGTCTCTTCTCAGGACAAGTAACACAGCTAGTCATGAAGGTGTCTTAATATTAAAAGTTGTACTCTGACATAGCAAGTGACCTGGACAGACTTTCCTTAAAGATCAAAATGAAACTAAAAGTACCTTCTCCTAAAGAACTAAACACCTAATTCAGTATTTTAAGATGCACTCTGTCAAACAGGGAGCATCAAAGCTTCAGAGTTCTGAAGGTGAACTGGAATAGGCAGGAAATAAGGAGCAATTCTACAAACAAAAATGCAGTCATACCGAGCATCACTTTCTACAGCTATGTAAGCAGTCATGACAAGTGACATGCTGCATCAGGGAGAAAAAGCTGGGAGGCTTTGTTCACACAGTGAAGAGCTGAGCTCCATCACAGACACCTGTCCGCCATGTACAAGAGGAGGACAAAATGTGACCGCGTTTCTCTCCGCAAGCTTTTAAAGCGTCCTTGGAAAAAAAATTAAGTAAGTAAAAGACGACAAGCGAGACAACTCTACAGAACATCTGCAGTACTGCCAAAAGAAAGGATATGTTGTATTTTTAAACTGAAGAATTGAAACGTATACAATACATTAAAACTTTTCATTTTGAGATTTTTTTTTGTTTGTGCCAAAAGAGTTTACGTTTCTGTTGATGGCCATTTGAGCAGCAGAGCAGCTCTAGTTCAAGATGACTTTATGAGGCACCCAACATGTTGCTGTAAGCGTTATTTCCCACTGTAAATGCTTAGACTTGTTTAACCTTAGTAACTGGAATCTACACAGTCTGTAAGAAGTAAACAATCTTCTGATATAACGGCTTGCAGTCTCACCCACTGAAAGAAAACTTAATTAAATTTGATTTAAGTGCAGACCTCACTTTTCATGATGGCTGGGCAAAGCAAAAGCAAGTGAGACCAAAATATCCTTTATGTCATTAAAAGAAAAAAAAATAGTCTTCAATTTTTTCTGACCTTCATTCCTTTTCTTCGTCGTTACTACAAACAGATGTGAAAGCTTATTAAAATTCTGTGGGGTTTTTTTGTTAGTTTAGGAATAAAGAGAAATAAAGATAACACACGAGAGGTAAATGCTGTTATACAAACACAAGTGTGATTACCAGTCTGCTCACCATACAGCAGACAACATTTGGAAAAAGTTAGTTATTGGCCTTTACTATTTTAATGCCTGAATCAATGCCATGTGTAATTTCTGAATTCTATTACCTCCATAAAAGGCTGTTTGAAGTTCTGAAGGCAAAGGCCTTGGAGTTTGAGGAGAGCAAAACACTTGCCTTTAGTTCTGGAAATTAACCTATTGTTTTTTTTGAACACTCTTCTCCTCAGCTGAAAGTTTTATCTTCATTAAAGCCGACATAACATCATTTAACTAACTCATCCACCCACTCAAGTTTTCTTGCACTATGCTCATCATTGCAACAATTACTGAACAAGTCATCTGATGACTTGTCCAAACAAGTGTTCTAGGTAACTTGGAAATATTTTCCAAAATTCATACAACCATAAGTTTATTTTATCCGTTGTGTAACACTGTGAGTTTCACAGGTCTGAAAGACATACCTGAGAAATACTTGGAGAACTGTCTTTAGAAAACATTAAATCTAATGTTACTAGATGGCAGCTACCCTGGGTTTATAGGTTCTGCTTCAGTAATTTTTGAATTATTTAATATGCTCATGCCTTCTTACATTTGCTTGAAAAGTTCCTTCACCATAATTTTCCATTCCCAACTTAATATTGAAATTGGATTTAGAATATCAGAAAATTCTTCCAGACAGAAGTTACTGAACACAGTTTTTTGAATGTTTTTTTTTTTAAATCACTGCTAAAGTATATAAAAAAAAAAAATCCCCACCCACAGCCTGATATGTAGATTTTTTCTACATTTGCCAAAAACAACGGGTGGAGGGGTCAAAAAACAGAAACTATCTTACAATATTATTACATAATAGTTATGTAATTAATATATTAGTATATATCAGATATATTACTATATCACTATAACAACCTATAGTTGTAATGGCATTACCTATTAATGCCATTAGTTGTAGTGCTATCACAGATACTGATGTTGCTATTGCTTAAAAATATAAAGCAAGAAAGAATACAAAATACCTGGTGAACCTGAATTTCCACTTTCAGAGCCTCCTGTAGAGTCTGCAGCTCCATTCTCTACCTTCTCCACTTTCTCTAGATATGTCTGCTGATTCCAGTGCCTTTAGTTCCTGGTTTACTCTCCTCACCAGTGCTATAAAAAAAATAAAAAAGAAGAAGTTTTGCTTTAGGTAGGAAAAGACAGAAGTTAGCTTGAAAAACGGGGAAAAAAAAAAAACAAAACAACAGAACAGGAATGCTGTGAACTGTATTAAACTACAGCTTCCTACCCTAAACACGTGGAATCTTCCAAACACAAGAAATTTAACTAAGAGCTGCCTTCCTTAGTGTAGTTTAGCCAAATGCACCGCTTCTCACATACCCCAAAAGTTGACATCCTTGTCCTTTATCTCATTTTGCAGGAAACTATTTCCTTCCAATATTTCACTGCAGTTACATATTAAATTAGAAAACTGCTAAGAATGTTTCAAAAGTAAATAAAAGATCTGCACAGACAAGAAAATATTCTTAAGACAATAAATTTGCAACCCAAATGACAATAAATTGTTAAACTACGTACAGCATTAACATACTTCCACCATACTTTAGAGCTGCGTAGATGGGAGGGTCTGCATGCTATCTGACACAACAACATAACACATTAATAAGGCAGTGCCTAAAGTTTGTCCTGAGTTAGTCACCTTCTGTTTTGAAGGAATAGAAGATATAAAACACAATATATTGAAAAACATTAAGTATTAAATCCTCTGCTGTTTCTAGACGGAATTCCAGTAAATAAAAGTTTAGCATCTTTATTTGTACTTCAAAAAAAGAATGAGTCCCCCAACCTCTGAAATGGAAGAACGCTATAATCGGTAGTTCTAAAAGCCTTCAAAGCTGGACAGGAGATTTTTGTCCAGAAATACGTTTAAAGTATCAGATTCTGAAGCAGGATCAAGATCCCTATCTTTATCCAACATGCTTTCAAAATGCCATGAAACTTGCCTAAAAACTGGACTAAAAATGCCTGCGTTGAGATTTAGTTATACACATAAGCATAGAACGCATCAGAAAATATGACATAGCAATCTTTCCAACCAGACATCACACATGAAAGAACTGTTGGAATGTTAAAGTAGTTCTACATTTTTATCTTTGGAGAACTGTTCACAATTAACACACAGGTATTGTCAGCTCAGATCTTCATAATGGGACTTGAAACTGTCAAAAATCTACTGACAACTTAGATTAGGCACTTAGACAATGAAGGGACAGCAATTCTTTAAGTTAAGAATTTTCTTTTGATGTTGCCCATGCACACAGAACACTGAAGTGTCGGGAGAGTTCGAGTTCCTGAAAATAAAGTTGGAGGATTTTTCCTGTTTGGTTGGTTTTTAAGCCAGGCTTGTTTCTCTTCGCAAACAGCACCGCATTATTAAGGGAGAAGACTATCAAGGGTTTTATAAAAGCCTGGTATTCCAACTCATTCTTTTTCCACACCATTTGCTGGTACCTGAAATTTACTTATTTAAATAACAAAGGCCTGATCAGACTTTCTAGACAACACTCGGAATGACCTTCTGCAAGGGTCTCTCCTACATGTGGCCCAGAAGAGCTAGAACAGCTGCCTTTGCAGCACCACTCTCCATAAAATTGTAATTTGTACCAAGGGATACATGCAAACTACATATAGTTCCCTGTTCTATTACCACAGACCTTAATGAGAAAACAGAATCCTGGATTAGTACCTCCAGTCACAGGCAAGAACTACAGCACGCATTAAGCCCCCATCACTGCAGTTTCAAAAGAAGCCATGCTTCAGAAAACCACGTGGGAGAGAGACTAATGAAAGCTGGAGCCCACTGCTGAGGCAAAAAGTATTTCATAAGCCCTGGAAATTCCATTTTGAGGTAAAGATTCAGGCAGGCATGAACAAAGTCTCTCTCAGTGTGTCTGCCATGCACGAGACAGCACTCACAATAAACAGAGAGTATCATTCTACAGCTACATGCTAACTTTAAAGCAAAATGCAAAACAGGAAAAAGCCATCTCAGAGAACATCAGAATTGTACATTATTTTAGCACACACTTGTATAGCCCAGTACTACACAGTACTTCCTCCACAACACACAAAGCCTGAGCAACTACCACTGATTCATAAAAAATAATGAAACTTCATTTCAAAGACACCTTCATCAGCTGGAAAGATTTCTCACAACTAATTTTTTAAGTTTGAGCAAAAAGCAGCAGTGCTTTGCAGAAGCAGGAGGCTGTTCAGCCTATCCATGTTTACACAGCTGAAGCCAGGAAAAGGTGTAATTCACTGCAGTACTGAGGGACGATCAAAAACCAAAGCAATGCCAGTAAAACATCCATTGCTGACTAGCTCCATCCCAATTTTTTTTGTTACAATTTCAGATTTTTCTTTTATTTTCATGTTGAAAGTTAACAGATTTTAAGATTCCTTAGCCACAAAATTTTTTAAGTGTATATAAACTGGAAATACTTGTCATGCTACAAAAAAATATCTGCGGAACTCCAATAAATATGATTGAAGTATCTAAAAAAAGGCAAGAGAAAAAAATAGATGCATGACTTTTTTTTCCTAATTCAAGTTTTTGGTGTTGTTTTTTTTAAAAAAAAACTGTTGGCTCTCTGTCTACTTCCCAGAGAAGTTGTGGATGTTCCCTCCCTGGAGGCGTTCAAGGCCAGGTTGGATGGGGCTCTGAGCAACCTGGTCCAGTGGGAGGTGTCCTTGCCCATAGCAGGGGGTTGGAACTACATGATCTCAAATATCCCTTCCAACACAAACCATTCTATGACTCCTCTCCTCCAGTGCTCTCACGACAGCCTCAGAGCAACTCTTTTTGCAGTATCATTTACTTCCAGTTACCTTCTGCAGGCAAGGTTGCACAGAAGGCCATATTAAGCATAGGGAACAACCTTCTCTCTTCAAAAACCAGGTGCTCCATATGGAAGGAGGAGAAACTAACAGTGCTCCATCAGCAAAGGCTGCACAGTAAGGAATGGTCTTGTGCCATCACCTTCTCTGCCAGCTGCTGCAGACGTCACCAGCAGCACCACTGTCCTCTTTTGTAAAAAAGGCCCAGGATTGGCAGTTACTGGAACTGTGTTAAATCACAGATAAGATACCACATATTTGGCATGGCATCCAAGCTGAGGCACACATCATCATCACTTTAAATACGAGGAAAAAGGCAAAGGGTAATAAAGAATTTATTAGGAGGTTCTAAAGCATCCTGAGCATCCAAACCATTACAGGTGGGAGGGAGTGTGGAGAACACTTTAAATAAGATATAAGATGATCACTTTTAAAATCTGGTCAAGTTGCCAATTCATAAAAATGAAGTGTATGTGGTTGTATAAAGCACTTAGAACACACACTTGTAGCCTTCCTCTAACAACCAAGTTACCCCTGGCTGAAATGCCCCTGAAGCACCTAAACACTTCGTCAGTGTCAATTAAAGAAAAAAAAAAGTGATCGTTCTTTATACCTGACAAATCCTCTATTACTTTTTTTCTGTTTTATGTAGAATAACATCTAGAGGGCACCTGGCCAACTACTACCTGTATTTCTTCCAAAAGTAGGTGCAGAACTACCTAGACAAGTGATCACACATTTCTAAGTGCAAAAATCCTCAGTATCCTTGAGCTTTTATTCCTTCAGACTCAGCTTCCAGGGGAGATGTAATAGCTCATGACCAGTGGCATTATGAACTACCTACAATCACCTTTCAGAAAGTATAAAACTATCCCTGGATTAATCATAAAACGTGTTCCATTTTCCACTTTACTCTTCTAATGGCAAAATTATTACTTTAATTAAAATTCTTGTCGGTGATCGAAATTGCATGGACTGGTTGGTCTGCAAACAGCCTTCATCCCATTCATTCCTAAAACATGCAAATGCTTTGCTAGTGCTAGAAACAGGGACTTCCAGAGGGAAAAACAGAGGACTGAGGAGCACTTGCACCTCTTACACGTCCAGACATACTTTCAAGTCACAACCAGGAAGAACACTGACAGCAAGACATAAATTTGACGCTCCTTGGATTAATTTCAACTTTGGAGACAGCAGTCCTCCAGTCAGTTTCTTGCTGGCATGCATTTGTCATAAATAATCCTGTATTTCTGATGTGATCGCCTCAATTTCATACAGATAAAGTGCCACAATTCACCTCAGTTAAAGCAGACTGGAGGTTGCATGTTTATACAAAAACATTCAGAAACTGAATGAATCTGAGTCATGTAAAGCGTACCAGCAATTCTCTATTATTATCTCAATTAAAAAAAAATACAATCCACTGCAATTCCTTAAAATATCAAGATACTTAAACTTTGGCTACTTTGGAAAGTACAACGAAGACACAGTTTATGTGACTTATATATACACATGTGCACAAGTAAAAATATAAAAAACACACACAAATGCTATTAATTACTGATCTGCAAATGGAGGGATGCTGAATAATTTAAGATTTTAAGCAAAAGTCTTTCTCCACTCAAAATCCCTTCAGATAATCTTATTTTTCATATTACACAGGAAAAAAAAATATTTTTGGATAGCTAAAGTTAAATGTCTATTGTACTTAGAGACTCTCAGGTCCAAATCTCAGCCCTGCAGTGAATTTATTTATAGGACTGAGACTTCCATCAGTAACATTTACTTTTTAAGATTTAATTTCTGAATATAAGAACAGATAGGATTTCAGTTTCAGTAAGCATCAAACTTTTCCAGGAATGGATGCCAGCTCTTCATATCAGCTATTCTTTGGTAAACCATCCCAGCTCAGGAAAGAAGTACTTACCAGTGTTGAGGAAGTTATTCCCTTCAGCCTTCTACCCCCTCCTACAAAAGAGGAAAAAAAAAAAAAAAAAAAAAAGATATGACCAACATGTAAACCTCAGTCTGAAACTGAAAAAGCAAATTCAAAGATTTGGAAAATTTGGGGTCTTCTGGGGTTTTTCTGTTTGTTTTTATTGATGCAGAAAATAAGTATAAAATAACTCTCGGAAAGACAATTTCTTTTCCGTAGTGGGGAAAGCCTAGGAGACCTCTGGTTCTAATAAGGATTAGAATATGACTGATCGCTATCATCAGGGAAATTAGAGATTACAGGTACAAGCTTTCCTAGTCCTGTGCAAGGTCTGTTTGCCTCCCCTGAGGGAAACAACTCTTCTCCATCACTGGAAGATCCGAGCCACAAGCCCTGCCAGCTGTCACAGCTCACTGCGATAAGGTCACCCACGTTAGGCACGTGCCCACCTCCTGCTCGAGGTTCCAGCAGCACAAACAGGGCAAACCAGGTGGTGAGACAGCACAGCCACCAGAGCTCAACACCCAGAGCACGAGTGTAAACCAAAATCAACGGCAGTTCAAGCTAACGTGCTGGGTCATGAACTGCAGAGGCTGTGAGGACGCACTACCCGATACACGGCCTGTGGATGAGAAGAACACTTAGCAGCACAGAAAGGTTGGGTACTACTTAAATCATCTTCATATGAATCATAAAAACTTGAGTCAGAGTCTTAAAAAGACAGTTAAAATATAAACGATACCTCATTTGCTCAATTTCTTTGCCTGATGCTAAAAAAAAAAAAGCCTTCCAAAATACTCCAGTTTTCTAGTAAAATACTAGAATATCAGTCTATTTTAAGCTCTGACTCCACAGTCAGCAAGACCTTTACAGCAAGGTTTCCATCCGCACACATCTCCACAGTGCTGGGTTGAAGCCCCAGCCACGCAAAAAGGAACAGCCACAGCCCATGCTCTGAAAATACAAAACCTTCTAATTCTGCTTTCGTGCAAGTACCGAGTTTTTCCTGGCACCTCTGCTTCATTTAGCAGAGAAGTTTAGCTTAAAGAATAAAGTATCTGTTGAATAATGTCATTCTGAATTTTCAGTTTGCATGGGTTTCTCAGTAAACATCTGCAGCAAATCAAAAGTGAGTTTCCTCATAAGCAGTGCACTAATGGGAGCTGTATAAAAACTTATGCTGATACAGGAGAGTCTTCCTAAACAGGGAGACAGAGAAATGAAGAGCAGATATGCCTGCTGCTAACTCCAAGCGTCTTGAACAGGCTCACACTTTCCATTGCTCTTCATATTTTTATAGCATCCTATGCGCTAGCCCTTACAATAACCTGTTAAGTGGTTCAATTTCTATCACCTCCCACATAGAGACAATTGCTTCTCAGTTGTGAGGTAGAATGTTACCTTCTTTGGTTTTGATCCTAGGTCATCAATAACATAAATATCTCTTTCTCTGCATGATAGCTGAACTCCTAGAAGTCCTAAATTGAAAAACTCTATCATCCATGCTAGTTAAACTATTTTCTTCTTAAAAGGAAGAACAAGAGAAAAGGCAAATTAATCAGACAACCCCCCCAAATTTCTCACATTTGCCTGTCTGATACAAACAATCCTCAGATAATTAATTTAGTAATTTTTAAGGCAGCAGATGTAGTGATAATGCCACTTTTGTCTAGTCAAAAGGGACAGCAAGTAGAGATGAAACCATGGTCAAGACAGATGATCTCTACAGGGCATCATTATCTACCCTGAAGGCGCAACTTTCTTTAGCAATAGTAAGCACTGAGCACAACCTTTAATTTCCTCTTAATAAATACATTCATGTATCCTTAAGTTTGCCACACGGCTCAGGAAGGCTCTAACTCAATACAGCTGATGGCTATTGCACAAAGAGATTCCAGCCCTCAGGGGACAGAGCTTCCATAGCTAACAGACTTCCACTTGGCAATAGAGAGCCTAAGTAGCAATACCAGAGGTGTCAGCGCAGCTTGCGCGTTCTTAATAGCAGTCAGTGCTTTGAAATGAAGGACCTGTCAGTCCAATGGCTTATTTCAAAAGTAGAATTCAGCTGTGCTTCACAAAGCCCTAATGAATCAGTGGAGCATGACAATTCAAAACCCCAAATCAAAAACTTGCCAGAAAACAGTTTGTGACCAACTAAATCTGTATAGCCTCGGTTCTCAACAAGTCTATCTGCAGCTACTGGAAGCCAACCCAGAAGAGCATTAATGGAAAAGGTACCAGATAGAATCTGCTTCTATTGAGCAAATTAGATTGTTTCTCATTCTCAGCAAGACGACATACACAAGCTTGCACCATCTCTTAACTCACTACAAAACACACTAGAGAATTAAAATTAAACCACTCGCAATCACACGTATTAATAAAGAAGAGGGGTTTTTAGCTGTTACTTTAATTAAAAACCTGCACCCAACTGGTCCAAATATCTTAATAAAAAGTAGCAAGTCACATTTTTAAGTAAGTCAACCAGATTTTCAAGACTTGATTGCATATGACCCTCAGCAATCTGAGATACCTACAAGCCTGGCCCTGCTCTGATCTACAGGGTAGAACCAGGTAACCCCCAAGATCCCTTCCAACCTGAATTATCCTGAGTTTGTAGTCTAATACAAGAGAGATGCATTAATTTCCTAACTCCTTTTCCTACACGATGGCTCTCTATTTTTACACTCCAGTATGATTTCCAGAAAATGCTTCACTTGTAGCCAAACAAATTTTGATACGCATCTATACACACACTTGAAGTAATAAAAAGATTAAAATAAAGGCTTTTAACCTTTTCAACATTTCTAGACAACGCATGTAAGAGAAAATACACTGCTATTACCAAAACAATCATATTCTGCAGATCAACTTTAATCTGTTTGAAACCTGAGAATACAGAGAGAAGTTAAAGCACAAAACTCCTGCATTCAAGGCTTGGTAGCCCCTGAGGATTTCAGAAGAACTACACATGATGGTTAAATGTGTTTGCAAACAGCACCGGCAGATTTAATACCTAACTGCTAAGTATCTGTACACTGAAATGTTTGGTCACATCAGTAAGACACTGTGGTCTTGAAGTTATACAATAACGCTTATGCTACTGTAACCAGAGACTCATTTGGGAAAAAGAAGTGAGAAATTAACAAATACTTTTAGCCCTTTCCAGTTAGTACCTTCCCTAACTCTGAAAGCTAGCACAGGGCACTGTTATACCATGGATATATAAAGTTCCTGATTAAAGCTACGTACCACACTGATATTTAATCCTCTAACTTCTTTTTCCTTGCCAACAGGACTTCTGACTCGTTCAGAGCACAGGATGGACTCTGATGAAAAAGGACTGGTTGCTGTGCAAAGGAAATTGTGACATCCTCTCACGATTCAGAGCATTTCTTCATAATATTAAGCTTAAATCCTCCCCACCCCTCCCAAAAAAATACACTGCATAGAAGATGTTTCATCTTCTCTGACCCTCCTCTGTCTTTAGATGCAAACTCTTTCAAGCAACTGTATTTTTTTTTTCCTTTATTTGAAAGGTGCCCCATATAGAGAGAATGCTATCAGTATATACTAGGACAACAAGTCATAAACGTTACTTCACAGTGATTTTCAAGTTAAAAACAGGAAAACTTCATATTCCTTAATAGGATAGGATTTCTATAGCCTCAAGGAAAAGACAGACCAACCAACGCAGATGGAGTAGACGAGATATTTTAAATGACTTACTAACTGAGTGTTCACATTTCAAATATCCCATTAGTTACACAGGTGCTGCCACTTCCATGACAAAAAAACACACCTCCTGCCTCAGCAGCCAGGCAGGCAGGTGGCACAGAGGCCACAAGCTCCAGCCCTAAATCAGAGCTCCCTGTCCATACCATGGAACTGGCACAACTTTGAGTTTATGACACTAAAAGCCTATTTTGTTGGGGGATAGATAGACTCACTTCCTCCAAAACAGTTTAGAAAACCATCAGCTGGAGGAGATCCATAAGCTACGTGGCTTTGCAACGTTTAACCCACACATGAATACACAACACCCTCTCCTTTGAAAACTCCCGGTGCATTTCTCAGATCAGAGATGCATATCCTAAAGCCACTTGAAAGAGAACAAAGTTAGCATAAATTCATTCCTTGAGGATTAACCACTTAATCCACCTTGAAAATAAAACACTCAGCCTCCCAGTTTTTGCTTACACCTACACTCCCCCTTTACAGGTAAAATGTTGCCATCTAAAAAACAAAACAAAAGCAAAAGCATTGAATTTCCAGCTGTAGTACATCCTTCCACAGGATAAATAAGGCATCCATGATTTTAAGAAAAAAAAAGTATACAAAACGAAACTAGAGAATTTCAGAAAGTCCACCTGACCTATGACTATAGGTAAGCATGGTAAAAGTTCATCCTGAACAGCTACCAAGGGCCCCATGTATTTCCCATATAACCCTTCCTAACGTTCAAGAAGTGATCATGACTACAATTCCTGTTTTTGTGCCCACGGCAATACTACCAAGAACACGAAGCCTCCCTCTGCTCAGTGAATCACTGCTTTCAGCTGAACACAAAACCACCTTCAGTGCAGCATGGCTGAATTCCTGCTCAAGTAAAGTTGCATTACCCCAACCTCTACGTTGGTGAACTTCTTTGGTGTTTAGCAGGCATCGTTTATCCACACACACGTCAAAAGGAAGCCCCACTTGTAATGAAGGCTAAATTTCTGGTTATTAGCAGTGCAAAACCAAAGCTTTCATTGATGAAGCCAGCAGATACGGAATTGTATTTTATTTTTCCAAAAATTACGATTCAAATCCTAAGGATGACTTTAGGGTCAGATTTTAGACATTTCTACTGCATTCTATGACATCCCACGAAGTTCCTGGAATCGGGCATTTTTGCTCATTTTAAATACAGTTTATCAATTAAACTGTTGCCACGCTTAAAATAACTGATATTTTTTGCAGTCTTAGAACTTGAATTTTTTTTTTTTTTTTTTTTTTTTTTTAACTTTCAAAACATCTACAAGTATCCACCTTTTTCCCCTTCAGGTGTATGGTAGGTAAATCCACAACAGAAGCCCAGCGTCCAAACGCAAAACGCACAGCCCAGTTTTGTTTCAACGCTTAAAAAGAATTCCAGAGGGGCCTTATTCAGAGTCATCTCGTTTGCCTGGTTTTTTAGATAATATGTCCAGAAAAATCAGTTCACTATCATCTGATTTTCTCAAGGTGCATTGTAAATTTCTCATTCCCATGGTGGAGAGGTTTCTGACTGCATTTTATAGTCCCACCACTCAGGGCTACTTGGGAAAAGGATATAGGTGAAGGAATCACAAAGAGGAGAGAAAACTATTATCTCGGAAGAACTGCGTTTGATACCGGTTAAACACTAAGGAAATCCAAGTAATTGCTTTAACAACTGAAGACAAGGCGAGGAGAAAAAATAAGAAAACTCTGCTTCAGTTCTCACTGTAGTATTTTTCTCTCCAATTCCATTAAGAACAGAGGGATCTCCAAATTCCTGTTTTATTCACTGAAACATGACAGAAAAATTTCATACTGAGTGCCAGCCTTCTTCCTTTTCTAGCAACCCACTTTTATCTTGGAGAGAACTGGCTTGCGGGAATTACACATTAGTGAGGCAGAAGAGTTTTGGGAGAGGTCCAGAGTACAACGGGAGCCGATCCGAGGAGCGCTTGCAGGGCTGCGGGCAGGAAACAAACCTGGCAGCATCTCGGCTACCGCTGGCAGCGCTGAGAGCTTCTCAGGGGGCAGCTGGGGGTGCTTGCAGCCCCTGCCTGGGCGAGCTGCTCCTTGAGTCCTGTTGGTCTCCTGGGGGGTCATCAGGGGAAAAAACAGCATCAAAAATAAGCAAATAAATAAATAAATGATCAGAAAAACAGCTAGCAGCTCAATCATGAAAAAGGGCCGTTCAAGGACTCCGGTCTGCCATTTCCACAGCACGCAGTGCTGTTAGCTTCATCTGCCACCAGGGGGAAATGCCAAACAAGTGAAAAAAGTTAGAGCAGAATAATAATGATGAGGAATAAAATTGGAGAGAAAAAAAAAGCAAAAAAAGTCAAGAAGAAGCAATAATCCTCCCTCTACCCTCTTCCCCCCTCACACTACACATTTCAGCAGTTTGGAGAGGAAAAGGCTCTGCCCAACAGCAGAGCTTTTAGGGAAGTAGCAGTGAAAGTGCTAAAACATTAAACAAGCATTAACCAGAAGCACCAGCAAGCAACAACTAACTCTCAGTTTCAGTGTCAGCACTGTGACTGCAAATCAATTAAAATTTTCTTAGAGCTGGCATTCTGATGAAGAGCAAAGTTTCAAGATTACGAAACTTAGAGAACAGAGATAAAAGAACATGAATTTTTAAAGGACCATCCAACAAGAACGTGTGAATTAATTTATTTAAAGTGAATACATATTTTATAGAAAAAATCACTCTGCTTTTCAGAAGACTTATTGCATTTATACAGAATCCCGAGAGCCTGGACTTTTTTTGTTGCCGTCGAAGAGATTTCAGAACAGCAGGGGTCCCATTAGACACCCTGTTTTTCTTCTACCTTATAAATACCGCCCGTACACCATTTCCATGGTTACAAAGTATAGCGAAAACTACTTACAGGGGATATCAGTTATGGGAATAAATCAGTATTAAGCATATTTTGATAAACGGCAACTTGCGTGCGACAGGAAACAGGCAATTATACATGGCATTTTAAAATTAAGGAGCATCAAACCGAAATGGGAAAACGTGCTCAACAAAGAAGTTTAGCACACATCTACAGGGTAAGAAAGAGACGAGCTCTGCTATCACAAGGATTTGGAGTTTAAAGCATCACAGGGTGAGAATCACAAGGAGCAACAGGGAGACTCTCAGCAGCAGATTGATGGAGATTAGCTACACAAGCTTCTACTGATGTTACCCTACCACAAATATCAGACAGAAGCTAGGTACATAAGCTATAAGAAGCAAACAGTCAAAATTCAGATGCATTGTGATTAGCGATTATATGGCAGGGTACCTCACAGCAACAGATAATCTCTCACACTTCCATATTTATAGAACGGTTTCAAAATCAGATACTGTACTTTCAGTAAAGCTCCTCTCAGTGTGCCCCTGAAGCCTGCTAAAAGACTGATTCTTCAAGGATGCATGAAGAAAGATTAAACCTCTTGATGCATACTGTTAGTCTAAGTAAATCCCAGTCCTACTTAGAGTTTATGGGCCGTCCTTCAGTTTCTCCCCTTTCATTTCACTTACGCTGCAGCTGGCACACTCCCCCATGCAACTGACCTATCTGCCCTGCCCTCCCTCCTTCACACTGCTCCAGCTGCAAAATCCCTCCTTTCTGATGGCAGGGAGGGTGTCACACTGCAGGAAGCAAAACGCGTCACTGACTGGCAAGGGGCAGAAATGAGTCCACCTTCTTCCTTCCTTCAGCAGATGCAAGTCCTATCCTGTGCACACCAAGTAAGAAACCACACCTTGTTGCTTTTGCTTTTGTTTTAAACTGCTGCAATCAGAAGTCATCTTTCACTTTCTCCAGCTTGTCACAAGTACAGCTGGCAAGTTCACTTTGATGATCCAGTGACACAAACCTGTTCTTTTCACTTTGAGCCCAGACGATCTACAGGATGACTCAGAAAAGAGGTATTTGAATCTTGCCATCATCACTATCATCACTAGAGCACTGAAAAGAACAATTCCTTCGTTGTTTATTTTCTGCTAACATTGTGTAAAAGGGTCATTGAGAAAACAAATCATTTTAGATATATTTGCATGCAACCTGTAAAGTTTTTGCTGTGGGTCAACTTTCAAATCAATATGCTGGAACGAGTATACGTCCAGACATCCTGTCTGCCACAGTTCCTAAGAGAAGTTGACCTCTTCAATGTAACTGTTAGCTTATTTTTAGTGCATATACTGAAGCAATTTCACATACATATAGCACAGCTGCATAAACTTGAAGTTTTGCTCCTAGTGTACATTTGCATTCTATGTTTAATGACACCGTAAAGTACTTGAATACAGAAGCTCTTTTTCTCTTTTGTGGAACTCGTGTTTTAACAGGAAGCAAGACAGCTCAAACTAAGAAGCCACACATGAATTCTTACCTTAAGCCACAGATCGCTCTAGATCTAGTATGTCACAGGCATCTGAATAATTATCCCGAGACAATATGAAAACGATTTGTTAGTGAACAGATGTTCACATGACAAAAATATCTGTTTGAGGGGACTGCTAACAGGGAACTGTTTGTTCCTTGTTCTCAAAGTCTGAAGACAGATCAAGATGAAAAAGGTAATGCTTCTCACCTTCTAGAAGAGTTGTTTTTTTTTCTAGAAGGAATATCACAAATTCACTTTCACACAGTTCTCCACTAAAAGCCTCAGACTTCTGTTGGGCGCTCTGAGCTCTGTGAAAGGCAGCAAGGACCCCCTGCTGTTATCAGAAAGTTCTATTTTCCCTATTCCTGAATAAACACAACACCTGTTTTAAGCACAGCCAGCTAATATTTACTAAAACCCAGTCTCATTCTGCAGTTGATTTTGATGTGCTTTTTAATTTAGGCTCATTTTATTTCAGCAGCCATTCTTTCATTATAGCACGTTATCATGCTGATATTCCTGATGTCTGGAGCACAGAGACTCACTAAGGAAAGAACTAGCTTAAGATCCTCCCACAGCAAAAGAGATATGCTCTGTGTACATATTAAAGAAAGAAAATAAACAGTATTAAGCTTTTTGTAAGTTTCTGGTTTAGCGTACTGAGAAATTATTACCGAGCACTTAAAGACATCACCTTTCAGAAAACAAAGAGCAGCACGTCTTGTAAGCCTACATAAAAAGACAGTAAACAGAACCAGGCAAAACGTGCTTGTTTCTGACTCTAGGCTGAAGGGAATACGGAAAGCTCCTTTCTCTCCCCCTCCATCCCACGATGACAGCGTGACGAGAAGGGCCCTTAGCGCGTTCTCGGATCTGCTGCTGGTGCTCAGCACACAGGCTGTACGCGCTCCCAGCGCAGCACAGGCACAGAACAAGCACTGCCTTCCTGCAGCCTCCGACACAGCTGTCACCGGGCCTACGGCCGCTGGGCCCACACCGCTGCCTGCAGGCCCCGGGCTGCCCCTTCACCCTGCTTCCCTCCCAGGCTATTCCAGCATCAGCGCTTCTGTTCCGATTTCTGAAACTACAATGCCCACGGTGGAAATAAACAAACAAAACAGAGGGAATTAGCTGTTTACTGTGCGAGGCTTGGTCCTCGCTCTTGCTCTTTACCACAGCTGCTTTCCTGCAGCTTGTGAGCCACCGATGGCTGCTGCCGTTTGATCCCTGAGCGCACCCGGACCGCCTGCCGGGCTGCCCTGCGGCTCCTGCAGCACACC